TTTCTGAGCGCATTTTTCTAACTGACATTTTCTCTACCGCCAACTGATTCAACTGGAAGACAGCACCAGGACACACTGCCCTGTGTGGGAGCCAGAGGGAAAGGCGTGCTACCCCGTTCCTGTCGGGCCCTGCGGGCCTTGGAGTCATGTTAAAAACCTGGCCCTCACCCTCTGGTCTGAAGCAGCTGCCCTGGAAATGCGACTCTAAGTCACCCCTCAGACCTCCCTAGAAGAATCTGAGCTGGAGGCCCAGGTGCCCGGGTCCCCTGCTGGGTGACAGGTATGCCCAGACCCCAAGCGGAGAAGAGACCTACAGGGCGAGAGCTGGGACTGGCGGCTGAAAGGCACCTGGGAAAGTCACGCCCTTGGGGCACACAGAAGCGACTTCATGCAGAGATGGTTGGGACCTTCATTCTAAACCCGAGCTACACGTGTCTGCTGAACCTGGTGGCGCAACTTGGACCCACACCCTACAGCACGCTCCGACCAGGATGGCAGTTCTCATCTCCGGTGGCGGGGCCCAGCTCGCCACACGATGTCTTCCCATGAGGAGCCGGGAGGAAAGGCAGCAGACGCCGGGCCTGCATTCCTAGAGTGAGGACGTCCGAATCCATGGGATTCTAGAGAGTGAGCTGGTTTGGGCTGAAAGTGTACGATGGATCAGAACTAAGTGTTTGCTGGGTGGTGAGACTTGGTCATAAAAATGCCTTCCTCACCCGGCCAGCGTGGCTCCGTGGTTGAGCATCCATCTATGAACCAGGAGGTCACGGTTCAATTCCCGGTCAGGGCACACGCTCAGGTTGCGGGCTCGATCCCCAGTGTGGGGTGTGCAGGAGGCAGCTGATCAATGATTCTCATCATTGATGTTTCTATCTCTCTCTCCCTCTCCCTTCTTCTCTGAGATAAAAAAATAAAAAATATATATTTAAAAAAACACACCAAAAATCTTGTTTGACAAGAAACCAATGGATTTATATTGTAAAAAACATATTTGCCTTCCTCACCAGGTAGAAGCTGGCTCTTCACCTCCCGTGAGTCGGAGCAGTTTGGACAAGAATGATCAGACTCCCTCTGCCCTGTGCTCGAAGGAGAGAAAGCCGTGGAAGGAAAGAGAAAGTGGGGGGCCCTGGAGCTGGAGCACGATGGGGGGACACTGCAGAGACCACACCCGCCACAGTGAACCTGGGTCCTTCCTGCTTATGCGGCGGTGCTGGGAGACCAGACTGTGGGCGCGGGCGCCCCGGGATCGTGTGCACTGCTCACGGGACACCTCGCCCCCAGGACAACAGACAAGGGCCGTCGGGGCCAGTACGTCCCTTCCTGTCCACTGCACCCAGAACATGCTCCCTTCTGTCCTCGACGCCCCCCGAAGAAGTGTCTGCTGTGCTCTGTCCCTGCTGCTAAGCCGAGGGCCAGCTCCAGGGTCATTCGAAGCTGGGGTCCGAGACCTCACCCAATGGCAAAGCTCACCACCACCACCAACTCCCAGGGGACCCCGTGCACCCACGAGGCACCCACTGAGCACCCCGTGCACCCACAGCACAGCTAGAAACGGGGGCTGGGCCGCGGCACTGACCTTCTCCTGGTACAGCCTGTGCAGCCAGGCCGAGCACTGGTCCTCGTCCTCCGGGACCTGCTCCAGGGGGATCCGCCTGCAAGGAGGAGAGGAGAGCTGGGCCCGCGCCCGCATGGCTGCAGTGACGGGGTGTCCCTGGGCCCCCACACAGGGAGCCGAGGCCGGGAAGGGGTCCCCCAGCTGGTGGGAAATGGGGAGGGCATCCACATCCATTCTGGGGACACACCGGCCGGAAGGCAGTCATGGCCTCAGAAGGATGACCAGGGGACGGGCCCCTCCACCCCCACCCCCACCCCACCCCCCCTTCGAGGGCGCACTGCCTGGGGTTCCACAGGACCCGCCAGGCCACACAGAAGCAGGCCGACTGCGCTGTCCTCAGGACCGGCGTGATGCCACCAGCAGGGCGTCTCCCATAAAACGAGGCCCAGGGCTCGGGGAGCGATGGGGCAGACTCTGTGCGGTTCCGCTGCTACAAGGACGTGTTTCCGGGGGCACGAATGCTCCCGGGGAGAAATCGGGATCCCCACCCGAGGGGCTCAGGAGCCCCCCCCCCCCCCACCCGCCACTGGTGCTGGCAGGGGCTGGGTGCAGCGCGGACACGCTCCATCATTTCTAACTAAGGGGCCTGCAGAGCAAGGAGGTGAGTGTTCACGCGAGGGCCTTCCCAGAGGGTGGATGGTGCGAAGGGGGCTGCTTCCCCCTCCCTCCTGCGCTCCCCTCCGAGATGGCTCCCCCCGAGATGGCTCCCCTTCAAGATGGCTCCCCTCCAAGATGGCTCCCCTTCGAGATGCCCCCCTCCCCCCACCGAGATGGCTCCCCTCCGAGATGGCTCGCATCCTGACAGGGGGTCCCCCCAGCCCCGGCCCCGCTGGCCCAAGTGCAGGTGCTGAAGGGACTAGGGCAGTGATGGCGAACCTATGACACGCGTGTCAGAGGTGACACGCGAACTCATTTTTTTGGTTGATTTTTCTTTGTTAAATGGCA